GGTTGCTCTTATTTCTGGCTCAGACAGAGCCTACTGAGCAATCTCATGCATCAGTAGGCTGACATCTGAATGTTAGCAATGCTTTTTTTTTTTTCCCTAATTATTTAGGAACCTGAATTATGTCCCTGTGTTGGGAAATAGCAGCTTATCTGCCTAAGCGTGCAAGGGCTGTATCCTTGCCATCAAGCGTCTGCTGGAGTATTTTTGCAAACAGGATTGTACTGTGTTAAAGACCTTGGTGTTAACCTCAAAATAAGCTGCTGTTAATACTCACTAATATGAAACTGGCAGGAATGGAGTTGGCTGGGGGTTTGTCCCCCCTCCTCCCCCCCAGACTTCAGTACTCAAAATTCCCAGTGCACTCTTACACGTTACCTGCACCAGCCCCAAGCTCGGAGGTCAGTTTGTGATTATGGAAAACCTTTTTTTTTAATGGAGACTTCCAAAGCGAGTATGGGCAGAAGCACTTATCTGTGGGACATTCCCAGTATATCATTGGCTACTGTTGAAAACTAAACATCATATGAAAAGGTTTTCCTGCGTGATCAATGGGAGAATGTGTTTGTGTGGCTTTGAGCTGCAGTCCTGGTATCTCGCTTAACTGACTCGTTGCTTTTATATTTTTGTTTGCTTTTCCTGTGTAATGCATGACCTAAATTTCATACCTAACTAGGTACAGAAGTCAGTATTTTATTCCCTCAGATCCTGTATCATTGTTTCCTTAAATTATAAGTCATGTTACACTTTAGGTAGTAAGCTATGTTGATTTTTAGTATTGGCTCCACTTCAAACTAAGTCAGCAAATACTTTGCTATTAAACCATGTATTTTCTGTGTTCTGTTTATTTTTTTTTAAATGAACATATAATTGCTGTTTTGGTAAAATTCTTACCACATTCACTTTGACTTCTATCAGTCCTGTTATTTTTATGAACGACTTTGCTATATTAAATGTTGGGCATTGTCCCTGGGGAGCGAAGCTGACAGTTACTGAATCTGGCCTCACAGATTTGCTGTTTTCCATACTGACTCTCACTGTCTTGGGTAGTGGCAGAGCCATGTTGGGTGGCTGGAAGAGAAACACCACGTGTTGAAGGAACTGCTGCTGGTGATTTTGTTGTGTGCTTTTTGATGGATCAAGGGTTTTGGAGAGCTTCCTAGAACTTTTTTTGCTGTCCCAAGAAGATCTATGCCTGTTTGTACACCTCTGCTGAGAAGAAAATCACTGGGCTCTGCTGAAAAAAATGTTACTGTTTGCTGGCAGGTGAAAAGGAAAAATGCAGTAATGGCTAAAATTCTAGCAGTGACCTCTGTTACCTTGATGTTTGTCCTTGACCCCTGAGTCAAAGCAATTGTTTCTCATCCTGGTTAACTCCTGGGGGTGGAGGGCTTCAGGGTGGCATTCTATGATCCTTCTGTCTAGCCCTTGTTGGGAATGTAAAGCTGACACCAGTTTTGATCCTGCCTTTATTACTGTGGAGAATGAGGCACAGAAGCATTCGGGCTGAGCCTCGGTTAGTCAATAGGCAGTGATGAATTCTCATTGTTATTTTCAGTTGTGGCTATTACTTTGACTCGAGATTCAAGAGAAGCTAGGTTTTAATCTGGAAAATCAGAACTTCATCTGTGAGCCAGATGCTTTGCTGTGGAGGGAGTAGATGCAACAGAGTTGAGTAAAAATAGTCTAAGAATCCTTTCTGCACCTATTTGAGTGATGCCTCTTCTGAAGTCGTTGAATAAGCCTACAGGTCACTCTGGTGTTAAAACAATTTATGAATATTGTAATGAAACCATGGATAGGTGCAACAGGGCTTTCCTTCTCCCTGGCCCTCTACAGCATTTTTCTGTGCTAAGGACAGAATTGAACAGAGTGAAGAATATTTTTATTGCTTTAACTCTCTGGGGTTGCTGTTGTATTTGATTAGTCTTCATGGACTGTTTCTGCTGATGTTCTCAAATAATTTCAGTTGAAAGATCCAAAGTCTTCTGTTCAAATGTCTGATGCTGTACCCTCTCAGACCTTGAATGATTCATGAACTTCTCTGCATTTATAAAATGTCACTCCTGTACTTTGTTATGATAGGCAGCCCGAACATTTCTGGTTTCTGTGATGCCAGCTTGTCCACCTTTACTGTGGACTGTTACTGCTCTAGAAAACAAGCCTTTACCAGTTCTTGAACAGTTCGTGCTTATTCTTTAATGGCATCTTGGCTTTTTTCAGAGATGTTACAGATCCTAAAAGGTCCAAAACAATTTGCTTGCCGCTTCTCAACCTTTCTGACTGGAATGCCTTGTTCTTTATTCAGAATCTAGCAGCCACTTCTTACTTGCTGAGCCCAAACTAGGGATTACAGGATAGCGTTTAGATATGGTGAACGTTCCTCCCAGGATTTACCTGACACTGAGTTCCTACAGTTGAATTTGGACAAGTCCTTGCTGGGCATCTACTGTTAAGCTTTTGCCAGTGTTTCTCCCAGCCCTCCCAGGACAGTACTTCTGCAGTTCATAGCTGATGGATTACTGTTCCTCTGTGTTGCTTGGCCTCAAATTTAAAAAAAAAAAAACAAAACAACCCAACAAACGAACTGTTACTATTTTGGAAATAAAACTCTGATTTGCAAAACATTTTTCATTTTACTTTTCCTAAACAAATCTGAACCTTTACAGTATTGGTATGTTTAAGTCAGTGGAAAAAGTTATTTAAAATTTGGAATGAAAGCTTTAAGCAGCCAGATTCACTGGTTATAACACCAGTCAGCTCACTAACAAAGTGCTCCATTTGGAACTAATCAGAGCTTTGTGATTTTTCTAGGCCAATTTGAAACTGCTTTGCTTTGATGTGCGACTGAATCAGATAGTATATGAGCTCAGTCTGTCAAGACATATGGGCTAAATTAATCTTTACCAAGCATAGAAAAATTAAATCTTTATGGGAAGAATTGGAGGTTATGTATAAACAAAATGCAAATTTTAAACTGCACGCGATGCGTACTGTAAGGATAGTGGAGAGGAGGGAATACAAGATAGGAGGCAATATATTGGAACAGACTGCTGGTTCAGAGGTTCTTCTGAAACCATGTGGCTCTGTTCTTACTCGGTTTCAGGTACTGTAAGTGTCAATATTTGCTGATTGTTCTGAAAATTTGGAACCTGGTTGTTTAGGATAACATAGTTTTGCCTAAATCTAATTTTCTAGCTTGCCCTGTTAGTCTCCTGAAGTCTCCCCTTGCCAGGAGGATGGTGGTGTCATTGCTCAGTCTGCTGGAACTTCCTCTCGGCAGCAATCCACTGGAGTGAGAGTTTAATGAGCTCCAGGAGAGACGTGTGAGCTTTGGTAAAGACTGACTTTGGCAAGGAGATTTAAACTACTCCCCACCTCCCCCCCCCCAGCTTCAACTTTAATGGCTGGACTTTCTGATGGGAAATTGTGATATTAAGGTTTTGTTATTGGTGGAAGGCTGTGCTGAAGAAGCATATGAGTAAACCTTATTTTTTGATCAAAAAGTAGACTGACAGTGCTGAAAAGGAAAGCAGGTACTCGTAATCCTGCTTTCTTCTGACACTCATCTGTCTTGCTGGATTGATTTCTTTGCACGTATAAGCTTTTTTTATGGGTGTCAAGTACACCATGTCTTCTACTTGTGCTACTGCCTTAAATTGCATATAAATCTATAAACGTCAGTCTTGGAATGGAGCTTACAATAGGTAATTGTATAGAGTAGGGATGTGCTATTTTTGACTTGCATTGTGTATTCTGATTAATGTCAATGTGTAAAGGTAATGGTAGAGGGAGCAAAGTATTGTTTTGAGCGTAAACTGTCCTACCTCATGGCACTATCTCAAGTAAACAGGGTCTGAATGAGCCTTTTTCCTTACAGGGACCTGTAGCCGCGGGTATTCGTTACCATGAATAAAGGATGGTTTCTTTTGTTATGTTGAGATGCATGTTTTCTCCTGTGATTTGTGAAAGGCTAAAATCCATGTTAGTCTAATTACAGCTCTCCATACCAGGTTTTCAAGTCGATTCAAAACGTGGCAGTTGAAATTAAAGTAATGCATTACTTGGTAGGAGTGCTTTTGTTAGTCTTAACTACCTCTTGAAAGCCTTGTTCCTCTTTAAGGTAGATAAACCCTTGTGTTCCGTGCTGCTAATGTAACTGTTTATCCACTTCTGCTTCTCATTACCTAGAAAACAAGAGAGTAATTGCCTTGCTTATGAGGCAGGCGTTGAATGTACTACAAGTAATAGATGTGTTTGTGTTGCTTCATAATTGTGAATGCTCTTGTGGACAGCAGCTGAAGTGGGCAGTGTTCAATTCTGCCTTTTCTAATGACTTATGTTTGTTTCTGTAGCTTTAAGTAATGGTGAAAATATGTTTTCTTATGCTAAATGGAGTTTAGAAGGTACATATTAGGCCATGAAGTCTGTTTTGATGATGCAGCCTTCTGCTTGGGCATTTTTAGTGTGCCGTTTTTCATTGAAATACGATGATGGTAGCAGGCTTTTAAATGGCAAAGACAAGAAAATTAGGTTTTTGGTAAATGGGAATTCATTCCCAGTCATCTGTGTGGAAATACTTTGAAATGCCTCGAGTCTGCACCTGTGTAGATAGGTGATGTAACATAAAAATGATATTTTCCAAGAGCCTTTTTCCTCTAGTTTTCGTGTTGAAAAGTTAAGAACTGCAGCGTGGAGAGGTTAAGGGTCCTGCAATATCTCTGCAATTGACTCCTGTGTGACTATTGTTTAAAAAAGAATTATACTTTAAGTAGCTTTATAGATTAGCCAAGATAATCTAGATTTGTGAATAGCTGCTGACTAAAACAACCTCCCTGAACTGTTACTTGTGGAAAATCAATAGTAACACCCCTTGGTTTTAAAAGAAGAAAAACGTCTTGTAACTGCCTTCAAAGTGGTTCTGCTCGCTCCGGAGGAAGGTGTGATGTTTGTGTGTTCCCTCAGTTTATTTTATTGCATTTTTGTGGTTGTTTTCTTTCCAGGTCACTCCAAGGTCTGAGACCCCCATCAACAGTGTCAGTAACAGTTTGGAAAATGTACTTCATACATCAACACATTCCATTGAGGAGTCATTACCCAAGAGGCCTTCGGGGAAACACTCCAAAGGTGTGTCCTTTTCCGCATGCGTTCTTCCAGTGGGGGAACAAACTCCTAGCTCTTCATGGCAATTAGCGTTCTTTTAATTGTGATTGGAGACTGGAATTTTGCTGCTTCTGCGTTGGGTTGAGCAAAGGAAGTCATAGAAGGGGTTTTGTAGGAAGTGTTAGTGTATCAGTGAAAAATGGTCAGAGAGAGACGGGTATGCTTGTTCTTCTGTTGGGAAATGAGCAAGAAAGTTCCTTCTGAGTTGAAATACCAGCTTAGCTCTCATGAAATATTATATTCACGGTGTAAATATCTCTGGCACTCCACCTCCCATCCTTATAGTAGCAGGTTATTTCTTGGATGAAGCATATGGTGATGAGTGTTGCTTTACTGGGGAGAAGGCATTTAAAACAGCAGTTGAGCTTCCACTTCCACCTTTCTTTCGGTTCCCAAGAATGTGTGAGAAGCTGAGGGAAGAGGAATAGAGGACGGGAGAGAGAGCTTGCACCTTTCTCGGCATACGTGTGCACCCTGAATTTTGTTACAAAATAAGTATATTTTTGTAATGTTATATTGCATGCTGACCTGGCTAAAAACTGGGCTTAGCAAATTTGAGTTATGTATTCTGTTCCTACCCTCCAGGCTATGATTACAAGTACTAAAATGTCTAAGTTCAAATGTGACTAACAGTATTTTTGTTTAATGCATACAAAAAGCACTGTTAAGTGAGGAAAGTCTTTGAACTGTGAGCTGCTATTTGTGTAGAACAGCTTTTGTGAACTCTTTGTGGTGTTAATAAAAACAGCTCTGTATGGCAGAACTAATGCAGGGGAAATACACTGTCACATTACTAGCACTGGTATATTGCCTTCAAATATCATTAAAATACTGCCATGGACCACGTAAATTTTTTTCTTTTTTTTATGGAATTGCTCTTCAGAGTTCTGTTTTCTTCCCTGCCCCTGGCTTGCTGCATAACCTTGCAAATATAGTTTTGTATTGTGTGAATGTGATGGTGATGTAAATGTGAATCAAGATCACCATGTAAATGGTGATCAAGAATTTCACATCACATCTTCACTCAGAGGAACTGATACAGCTTGGAAAGGGTTAAACGTCCCAAGGAAATGTTCTCAGCTTGCCTCCACCGGACCTCCTTTTCTGTGACATACTCAACTATAATCCCAGTAGCTATAAGTAGCAATAATTTTTTACAGCAAAATAGTGCTGTAAGTAGCTATTTCTCCAGCTGTAAAAGCTATCAGGGTAGAAGAAACTGCAACACTAAGCAGAAGCAGGGCTAGGTTTGTGGCTTTCATCTGATTAAAAATAGGACAGAGTTCAACACTGTTTTCATTTGTACTCAGTGATTGCTATTCCAGGACCATATATGCCAAGATTAGTCATGGTACACTGTGAAAATTAATTAGGTTTTCCTCTGATCTGTTTTTCTCTTATAGAATACCTGCTTAGTTTTCAGAGAATGTAGCTTTTTAATTTATAGGTTGCCTTAGTGATAGTTGGTAAAAGGACTTGTGGAGCAAATACAGTTTTCTTACTGATATGCTGCTTTCTGGTGCACCAGCAGCAAAGGTTGTGTTGAGTTCTTGATACATGATGATCTGTCGTAGGGAGTTCTGCCTCTTAAGGCTGGAGTACAACTGAAGATCTTTTGCCAGCCTGGAGCCACTGTTGCTCGCTTACAGATTTCTGATTCCCATAGCGAACGGACACCTCGCTTGAGTTAGCAGGACCCACTACTTTTTAACCTAGAGCACATGAAATTCAGTCATGAGAGTATGGCCTGGCCAGGTTGCTTGACCAGTTGTGTAATTCTTGTGTTGATACTTTCTAGTGAGTTTTGTTTCAGACAGCTTGAGAGGGCAGGATTTCTTCTTGCTCGTGGTCAGAAATAGCGAGCTGCCGAAGTTTGTCCTTCCTCTCTTGGCAAAGTACCGAAGCTGGAAGTGTCTCAGTTAAAAAGCTGTAGCTGAAACGGAAGAAAAGTGAGAAAGCTCACAAAAGGTGCAGTATCCCTTGTGCTTAGTTGGATTAGAGACAGTTTGTATTAATCCAGTGAATGGTTTTAATCCTGATTTGTAGAAATGTCAGCAATACGAACGTACTCTGTATGTAGTTGAACAGTGAATGGGTTTGTAGTAGGCTTGGACCTGAAGACTTTCAGTGGCTGTATCTTCCCTAATCCGCACTTTGAAACTAGCTTTTAGCATAAAATATTTCAAGTTTCTGCACGGGAGAGATGAGAAGTGTGGCGTATATCGCTGAATACTCCTTAGGAAACTGTGGGGGAAGCCTGCATGCGTTTGTGTTTGCAGTGAGTGGTGAGCTGAAACATTCGTACGTGCTTCGTGTAGAGACTTGTCAAATATAGAACTTCTGAATAATTTCCCCATGCTATCTGCACAGAGTATTGCTGCCTTGGGAAACAAGTTTATAAAATGAGTGTCAGTCTGAGAAGTCCATAAACCTTTCCTTTCGTCGCAGAGGCCCAGCTAACAGTGGGAACAGGCATTGGGGTACTGGATCCATCCTGTCGTGCCCAAGTTGTTGGGAGCGGTGATCAGCTGGGGGTGATCGTATGGTTATTTAGCAAAATTTGCCAATTTTTCTATGCTGGTCCTTTGGTCTTAGCTAAAGCTTCTTCTCCCTTCTGCATGTATCAGTGCTGCAGCAGGGTAAACCAGAGGGATGTTTCTGCAGAGTAAACAGCTGTGACACTAGGAAGATCCTGTACCTGTTGACACAGAGCAGATACTTGAAATGCTTATCTGGGCTTTCCTTTTGTGAAATAAAGTTCAAAGATGTGGCCTGTGCATGTTTAATAAAAATACGGATGGGTATTGGCATAGAAAGATGTGGATCTCTTCTGGAGTCTAATAGTTGTAACGTGCAGTATAAATTGTGCTTTTTACTCATACTTTTTGATCAGTGCTTTAGGATTGTTCGAACTTGTTCTCACAGATGGGGAAGTTTATTTTAACTGGAGGTAACTTTGGGAGGTGGAGAATTTCCTTGTTCTCAGGAGCTGGCTGTTGTCTTGGTAAGCTGTGGACAGGCTTATTTACTGGTTTTAAGGTACTGACAGATCTCACTGGTCAAGGAGAAGAGAGGCAAATACAGATGGGTTTTTGTGTTACCTGTAGCTGAAATTCCAAGAGGGATGTGTTGCTCGATCTTTCTGTCTCTTTCCACCGTTTCTAGAACGTAGTCAGGTTTTAACTAGGGTTTTAACACTGATCCGAACAAACCAATCCCATTCAAATGAAGCCTGAGTATTTCTTGCCTACTGCATGCATCGAGGGCCACGCTGTCTTCCTTGCACCCTTGGCTTTTTTCCACAATACTACACGAATTGAACCAGTGCAAATGTAGCTGCAGAAGGTGTCAGTGTCAGTGTTGATTCCAGTTTTAAAGATGAGATCTCATGCTTGCAGATGCTTGCTGAAGTAGGTAGGCACATACTTTAGCAACGGTGCGGCTGCGTAGTGATGGTCCCTTCTAAAGGCAGGTTTGTCTTTTCCAGCACGATGCCAGCAAAGTCAGCAAACTTACTTGGAGGGATTCTGAGAAAGGCACTGAGGCTGGTTGTCTTCAATTTAGGATTTTACCCGACATTTTCTGAGGAGCCACCTCAGAACCTTTTCCCAGTAGCAAGTGACCCAGGTGGGTAAAGAAGGTCACTGGTTAAAAATAGTGCATTCACTCGCAGCTTTTGTTTTGGAGGCAATCCTGTGCTGGTAGCTAAGGGAAATTCAGATGTTATGCCAAAGTCCAGAAGGAGCTATCTGACCTGCAGGAAGTCCCATTCACAGAGCTCATTTGTGACAAGCCTATGGATGTAGAGTTGTTCTGACCTTGTGTGGCAATTCCCAAAAGAATAGTTACGGTTATCATAGCTGAATGAAAAAATTCTGCTTATTTTGTTGGTTTTTTTTTAAAAAAAGGCGATAGGAATTTCCTGTACACCAGAGATGTTATTAATTACTCTTGCTCTAAGGGTCTGAGCAGAAGGATTTGGCCATTGGGTGGGTAGCACTGTAGGCAAGTGCATGTGACACATTTTAGCAACGTATTAAACGTGGTTGGTGACCACAGCATATTTTCCAAAAGCACAGTGGAATAAAGTACATTAGACCAGATGTTGAAGTGCAGAACAAAAGAATCTTTATAATAAAGGCAATGTAAGTTGCAAAACATTACAGTACGAAGACTGTGCAACCTTCATACTGTAATTTCTCATAATGCTCGGTAAAATTTTGATTTGTCACAGCTTCTGTTTTAAATTTTCTGCAGTGAAAGTTTTGTGATGCTGTTTAGATGTTCATTACTGCTATGAGCCTTTGCAGGTGGCACTTACCCCTGTTTTTCCTCCAGTCTGGAAGATGGTTTCCTTGACTGAAGAAGTCTCATTTTTCTGCGAAGTGACAAAAACTCCCCTATTCTTGTTTCCTGTATATTTATCTTGCCTTTCCGCTGTTGCCACACAAAACCTCAGAATTGTCTCTGAGCCAGTCTGATTTCAAATGAGGGAACTGTTCAAATGTGATCCTTATATAGTGAAGCTGAATCACAATTCTTGCAACACATGCATCTAATGATAGGCACAAACTGCTTTCTGTGGACGGGAGAGGAGTAAAGCTTTTCGATGTAAAATGGGTGCAGGAGGCTTTATTTGACAGTCTGTGCTCCGTTTTGTAGTCCTGCTGAGCACGGGAAAACTTCTTGCTTAATTGAAGGCGTGCTGTTAGTGCACATAGAGGGTCCTGCAAAGTCTCGATGGTGTCCCAGGGTAGAATGAATACAGACCAGCACATGACTTACTGGACAAACGGAGCTGCTGTCTGTGGACACAGGGAAAAACAAACTTTAGAGAAAATGCATCTCAGTAGTGTATTGACTTAATTTTGGATTACTCTTAGGATGTAAAATACATCCTTGTTTGCAGTAATCCCCTTGACCTCAGGTAGGGTATGACTTGCAGGTAGATTAAGCTGGCTGGT